AGAAGAACTTCTCGCATAATACTCCTAGCCTCAATACAATAATAAAAAGGATTAATACAGTTTTTTAATCCCAACTTTCACCAATTTATTTTCATTAATCTCAACTTTGAATTATTCCTCAATAATCCCAACTTTAAGGTGACCTATCATTCTTCAATCCCAAAAACCGGTGACTGGTGAATGGGTTAAAAAAAATTTAAAAATTATTTGACACGTGTCACATGTTAATTGCTTTAAAAAAAAAAAACCACCTAGCCAAAACCCCAACCACCCTAATTGATCCGGTAACCCGCCAGCCCAGCCACCTCCCTCGTCGGACCGCCGGCCCTCCCCACCACTAGAGTCTCCGCTCCGAGCCAAACCACCATCCCCCTTCATCGAAACTCCCACACCACCAACCAAACCCCAAAAACCCCAGCAACCTTCACCGAAACTCCCACACCACCAACCAAACCCCAAAAACCACCAGCCCCCTTCACCGAAACTCCCACGCCACCAACCAAACCCCAAAAACCACCAGCCCCACTCTTGAAAATCCCTCAAAGCCACCAACCCCACTCGAAAATCCCCAAAACCCACATGAAGCCAACCCCGAAACCTACGCTAAACATCTCGAAACCCAAAAATCAGCCATGGGATAGGGTTTTTTGGCGGTTTTTCGATAAGGTGGGTGGATTTTTTCTGGAATTCGAGGGGTTTGGGTGTTCGATTGGGTGGTCGGAAGTCATGGAGGAGAAAGGGAAGGGAAGAGGAAAGGGGATTTCAGGTGGGTTTCGAGTAGGGGTTTCAAGGGGAAGTGGAAGGGCGGCCGGAAAGGGAGGAGAATGAGGGTTATTGCTGGAAATGGAGGGGATGGGGGGACTGCCGGAAATGGAGGGGATGGTGGCTGGATGCCATTAATGGAGGTGGAGGGGGAGAGGCTGTTAAAGGGGAAGGAAGAAATAAAAAATAAATAAATAAATTGGTACAGTAAAAAAAAAATAAATAAATAAATAAATTGGACCACTCACGTGTCTAGCAACCTACAATAGAAGGTTGTTGACCGATTTGGGTATGAAGAATGATAGGCCACCTTAAAGTTGGGATTATTGAGGAATAATCCAAAGTTGGGATTAATGAAAATAAATTGGTGAAAGTTGGGATTAAAAAACAGTATTAATCCTAATAAAAATGCAAAAAACTAATAAGTTCTTAGTTGTTTCACTTTGACTTACACATTTGTAAAAACTGAAATTTAATTATTAATAATTCTTTAAATAGTAAGTACTCCGTATATAAATAGAAAGTTAATATTGAGACAAATCAATTAATAAGTTATGTGATAATATTTTTTTCATCATTTAAAGTGTTAATTAATACGAAGTACTACGTACTATGTAAATAAATTAGAGGTGATAACACAAATCTCATGCCCAAACTCGCAAAAATGTGGTGGGCTTGTCGGGTTTTTTACAGGTCGTGTTATTATTAAATGTTACACAAGTTTTAATAAAAGTTAATATGTTAAAAATACGGTTACTATGTTAAAATTAGGGTCACTATGTTCTATATAACGTCAATTGCATGAGTATAAATTTCGGGTTCACAATAATATTATTGTGGATCAGATCCACGTAAGAATTTTTGCACATTTATACAAAATAATATTTTTTGGCTTGTCCAAACTCGATCTTTTTTCAGATCGTAGTTGATCACCTCTAATATAAATGAATTTTAATATTTTATGGATAGTGTCTTCCAAATTTCCATTTTTTTTTTTTTTTGAATTGTATATGGGTCGGGCCATAGCGTCATTGAGCTAGAAGAGGCGACTGTCGGCAAATTATGATCTTCTGATGATTCACTGATTTTCATTCCCTAATTTTCTCCTGGGTGTTTTTCCCCAACACAATTGACATATCTTAAACCCTAATTTTCTTTTTCATTTCTCGCATAGATCAACTCCTTATGTCAAGGTTTGTCTTTCTTTTCCTTTAAATTTAATTGCATACTATCCTAATTCATCAACTTTAATTTAATTCTTGATCATAACACTCTGCATACATTAAATTGATTAGCTGGAAAATTGGGGTTTTTAATCTTGGAGTTTGTTCATCATAATTGGGAATTCGATGTTTAATTAGTACTATTTCTGTTGATTAAAGATGTCTGAATTTCTGAAATGTATTATTTTGTCCCATATAAATTAATTAGGCCTCTTTATACTAATACTGATGTATGATCATTTCTTGCTCTGTCTACAATAGTTGCCATTGAATCATTGATCAAAGAAAGATTAATCAAAAGCAATCTTTAGGCCTTAACGCCCTCGAAAACTCGAAAAGTAAGTGAATTCATGTGCATTTTCCTAAGGATTTAGGAATGATCCTCTATAGTTTGGGATATTATTATGATTCTCATTGTCATGGTTCTGTTCATAATCCAAATTATGGGAAATTTGAGGGTCTCTTGTAGGTTTGATGGCGGAATTGATCGGTCCAAGGGTTTACAGTTGCAGCAATTGTCGAAACAATGTTGCACTTCATGATGATATTATTTCTAAAGCTTTTCAGGTGAAGAAGTTGATATATTATTATATGCTCTTAGCTGCTTTCTTTGTTTGATTTATTTGGGTGTGGTATAGTACAACTACAATCAAAGAAATGAACTAAAAATATCATAATATTTGTATTTGTTATGTTCCTTAAACATCATTGTGTAGTTTGAGATTTCATTCTGCCATGTCGGCCATGAAGTTGTTTGAAAGGTTGTATACTTGTATGGGAATTTACCATCATATTTGTGAATTACTAGAATCTCCGTACAGCATTTTTATGGCCTTAAATCTTTTTGATGCTGTGTTTCGTTTCGAAGTTAGTATCCTGCCATAAATAATTTCTTCCATGGAAGGACTTTCCTTTGTTTGGTTCCTAATAATGAGAAACGAAAAGAGATGCAGAGGGAGGACAAAAGGAGGTTGGTAAGTATGAGAGGAAAATGTGGCATTCTTGTTGAGGTAAACCTTAACACCCCTTTGGAATTCTTTTCTCACCCAATAAAATTGTTCGCTCATCCATACAGAGAAATTGGGAAATTTATTTTCCTTCCTAGTTCCTAGCAAACACGGTTCAAGTTCTTGCCCAGAAATTGTCCCGTGAACAATTGTGAATTGTTGAGCATGGAAATACCACATTTGATTACAATTTCATTATCTCGCCCATTTATAGTAAGATGTTGTGCATTTGCGATAAAAACTAAATCCTTCGAGAGTTGATGTTGGCATCACATTATTCTCACTATGTAGGTCATCAATATTACACCTCTTTCATGGGACAATTTGTAATGGACTGATTTTCTGGATTTATAATTCTGATTTAATAGTGCAAGCAAATAAATATTAAAGCTTGAATTTTGGTTGATAATGGCCAAAAGGTTACAAAAGATAGGGTTAATAGCTTAAGGCTATTACTCTTCAATAGTGAGTTTAGCTCACAACTCTCCAAAATGGCTTTAGGCCATGACTCTCTCTAGGTTTCCCTAATAAATTTCTGCCTACCTCTTCCTTTCCCTCCTCTCTGTATTTATACTAAAGCTAAAGACTCTAACCTAATAATATTAGACTTCCCAAATTGCCCCTCCTAAAGTTAGTCTATTACACAATTATGCGAGGGGATAGGATAGGATAGGGCATGGTTTCATGTTCCACTATGTATTTCAAGTATCCTAATGCCTCTGTAGTTCATTACATCAGATACTATATATAACAAGGTGCAGCTATGTCTTTTGTGCTGATTGCTCTATCTGAATCATAATTCAGGGAAAAAACAGTAGGGCTTTTCTTTTTTCCCATGCTATGAACGTTGATGTGGGGCCAAAAGAAGACAGACATCTCATGACAGGTCTTCACACAGTTGCGGATGTCTCTTGTTCTGATTGCAGTGAAGTACTTGGTTGGAAGTATGAACGAGCTTATGAAGAATCGCAGAAGTATAAGGAAGGCAAATACATACTTGAAAAGTCTAAAATCGTCAAGGATAATTGGTAGTTGTGAAATTACCTTTGCCTGCCAGCATGTTGATGTAAGTCTGTGGAATCAATATCTACTATCCTGATGGTTATGAAGTTATCAGTTCAGAAAATAGCCGAGACAACCGTATAATTATAAAGTGTAAAATTTTCAAGATTAATTGGCAATTTGTTGTGAAGTTACATTGCTCTCTTCTCCGCATTTCATTGTAATTTTGTGCGGGGAGGGGACAAGTACATTGCTGTAGAGTTTGTAGATTCTTCTCAATTTTCATTTTCATCTTCACCGATTGATTTAAAATAATTCAATGTTAATCCTCATTCCTCAATGTGTCTTACAATGATTCAATTAACATCAATAATGTATGATTAGCATAATTTTCAGAGCATGCCTCTTTTCGTATTTGTGGCCTTTATATCATCCATTGAGACTCCAGACTCGGGTGCTCTACTTGTCCATTGCAAATGCCCACTCACCATTAAGTGAATTTTTCAAGTCGTGTCCATCTCTAAAATCATAGTGAAGATTGAATCAATAGTACTGTATTACTTAACTTGGTTCGTGTGCATAATTTGATAGTCATTAAGAAGATGGCAGCTTCCTGATTCACTTATTCCCTTGCTGTTAAAAACAAATATTTGTCCTTTTAACTCATAACTGTTGACTTGTGACTTGAGTCGTAGAACTCAGATTTAGAGTAACTGCAGTTATATATATGAAAATTACACATACATTCCCCTGATCTTTTCGCCATGTCAGAAAATATGTATCCAAACATGCAGAACTGCCCGGAAGATCTCAGTACAGATTTCAGGAAACAGAGGTCTTTTTTACTTGCTGAGCAGCTTTATTAAGAAATAAATACAGCATTATATACAATTACTATTTAACATTTCTGAGATGAAAATTTAGTGTTCTGAATCTATCTGCCTCACTGGCATACAAGAAAGTTATATAGCCTGCCGAAAAAAAATAAAAAATAATTCACTGCCACTTAAATGAATTTAAGTAATCACTGCTTGGCGGAATTTTTAAATGGACATATATTGAAAAAATAAAAAATAAAGTCTACAATCAAAACTTCCAAGACACTAGAATGAAATTAAAAAAAAATAAATAAATAAAATTATATATATGCACTCTCTTAAACAACCCCCAACTAGTAGTATGGGGGGCAGAGTGCTTGTGGTATTTGACAAAGATCTTTCTTTCTATCAATAGATGGAAACGGAGGAACCCTAAACTAGAATTTCGGTCAAACAACTACATCCTTCCTAGAAGCCCACCTCCTCTTGGCATATTCTATTGCCTCCTCCCTTTTCCTCGAGAGGTCACGTATGCATTCATTGTATTGGGATTCAATCGCATCAAGCTCCTGCTTCAGTTCCTCGTTGCAAAGCTCTTTCTCTAGCGGTGTTAAAGAAGCCGTGCTTGATAGGCTCAAACCAGTAAAAGCAATACTGCATCAGATTACAATGAATATGTTTAAGAATAAAAGTTCAAACAAATCACAAATACCATAGCCATAAAGTCCAACAAATACAACCACCAATACCTGTTCGAGCGTTTACAGCAATCACAAGCATTTAAACCAGGATCATGAGAGCATATCATGGAATATTGTTCATCAACCGATATCCCTGAAACAAGAGATTCTCCAGCACCACGGTCTTCTCTATTACCAGTCACCTCTGTGGGGACCTTGAGTATTCCAGATTTTGATAGATACTTGAGTGCGTCCAGGGCACTGCTTGAGCCAGATAATTCCTCTAGCGAATTGGTGAGATCAGTACGTGAGAAATTAGAACTAGAAGGCGGCCTAAAGTGAGGCACCAGTTCTGCAATCAGCTGCTCCATCAATTGCACAACTGGAACCAAATCTTCCTCAGATAAGTCTTCAATCTCTTCAACCATCTCATGCGCAATGGAGATGATGGTATCTTTTTGAAGATTGAATATAAAATGAACATTCTTCAAACGACCTGACCCAAATAACATAAATTCAGTTTCCATCAAGAGATACTAGATTTCTCACAAAAGGCCAAGCTAGAATTTTAGCGTACCATTTGTACCAGTAAACACGAGGGTCATTGAGATTGAATTGTTATCCACCACCTCTCCTATTAACTTGAAGTTTTTCACGTCATTGAAATTTAAAATTAAAGTCAAACGGGGAGGAGCTTCCCAGCTAAAATCACTCTTCTTGCCATCACCGTCTATATCCATAGAATGAGCTGTTTGAGGTCTGGACAAACAAGCCGGTTCAACCATGTTCATCATCACAGAATGAGGACCTGGCCCTTCAGGAGTTTTGGATACAAGAAATGTGTCCTTCAACAAATCCTCGGCTGATGGTCTCATGGAAGCTGGAACCAGACATTTCTCAATGAACTGCTTAATCTCCGGATTAGTTACTCTGCTAAGGCTTGCTGGCTTGACACCCTAAAAAATCATGTAGGAAAAAAAAAAAAAAAAAAAAAAAAAAAAAAAGGAGGGGGTTACAGCGTGGGTAATTATCAGCAATTATCATCACTTACTAGCTGTATGAAGTAATTCCTACCGAGATAACCTTCTTGAAGATTTGAGCTGTATTTTTGCATTCAGAATAAGGGTATTCACAAGTCACCATTTCCAGCATACACAAACCAAAAGAATATATGTCGACAAGTTCATTGTATTCCTCTTCATATAACTCAGGGGCCATAAATTCAGGTGTACCTGCACCAAAAAGACCCCACAGGTTACATACTTTTAACTGTATGAATTGTTCAATAAACAAAAGGCTTAAAATACAGCAGGACTTGGCGGTACCTATACAACTTCGAGCAGTAGGTTGCTGCATAACAGTTGCCAAACCCAGATCGCCAATCTTAACTTCCCCAGTGTTCCCATTGACAAAGATATTGTCACATTTCAAATCTCTGTGTATGATGCAAGGACTCTGACTGTGAAGATACTGTAAACCCCGGAGGATCTGCCTTGCCCAGTTTTTGATAGCTTTCAGATCAACAGACTTATGTTTCTTACGATACCTAAACAATACAAGATGTTAAAGTAACAGCATAAAAAGGACACCCATGTTGATTTCTACACAACAAAGAATCAACAGAAAAACACTCACTGTCTAAGGTTTCCGGAGGTGAATAGCTCAGTAATTATGTTGATAGTCTTACTACCATCATCAATCCAAGAATGGTAGAACCTTATGATATTTACATGTTTCAAGGACTTCAACAGATGAACCTCTGAATACAACCTCTCCAAGTGTTGCGCCAACTGCAGCAAATCATCAATGTCCACTTGATTCCAAGCAACCTCTATTCCATTGACCTCATCAAATGCCTTGTAACTATTAAAGATAACAGCATACAAACAAAAATTAGGGAAAAAGTATGGACATTTTCGACCCCTCACCACAAGCAAAGAAAGTGATCACTATTAGCTATGACTTCAACTAATTAAAAATTCGAAAGCGAACAAGAATAAAACAAAAAATCAGAAGACTGAGCAAGGAATCATACACAGTCTTGGATGCTCCCCTCCCCAGGATTTCAGAAGACTGAAGAGCAAGAGCCAATAAGGAAAAAAAAAAACATCATCACAAATGAATAGAAAAGGATTAAACGTGTAATACTGAAATAATCCAAAACAAAAACAGAACAAAATTTTTAAAATAAAAATAAAAATCACCTGCAAATTCACTAATTGGCAATTAAAATCTAAATATTTAAATAATATGAGTAATTATGGCATAAAAAGCATTAAATTAAATGTATTTAGCAAATTTAAATCAAACAAGTAAATCTAAAGCAAAAAACGTAACTTAGATCAAGGAAAGCAATTAAGGTTATAATTACAAAAGGAATACATCAGAAATTACTACCCTAATTAACCAATAATTACCAATTTAGGAAACAATCGAAAAATGAAGGAATCATACCCTAATGTATCGGCCGGAAGGGTCCCTCTCAACAATGTCGTCAATTTCATCAGAAATTGACTTCGCCATTGACGATGTCAAAGGAATTTTAAGTGATTCCATTACAGAAAGAGGAGAAGAAGAAAATTGAGAGGAGAGAAAGCAGAAAAACACAAACGATCAAATAACTTCTTCAACTGGAATCGAAAGCAATGTAGCAGGTTCAGAAAACGCTTCGCAAGCGATCAAATACGAGTCAAACGACGATTTGAAGCCGAGTCGACAAGCAAGTAAATCCATATTCGAAGAATCGATTCGTAATTTCAAAGCTCGGATCTCCATTAATGGTGTAATTCGTAACTCAGTCATACCAAACCTAAAATCACCATATCACGATCAAAATTCAAAGGAATTGTAAGAATTTGCTAACCGTAGAATTGGAGAAGAACGATTGGATTGGAGATTATCTGAATTTTTTTTTTTGAAGGAAATGTAGAAAAACAATTAAACAAACCCTAGAATTAAGGAAAAATAAGGAGCGTTAAGAGGGATGAGAAAATGTGGCAGGTTTTTCCGGAAAATAAGTAATTCCGTTATTTTATAGTAGCAGGAGGGCGTCAGGAGTCAGTACGTACTCTGTGCTCAGGGCTTTTTATTTTAATTGAGTCATAACATTCTTTGGACCCACGCACTTTAAAAAAGATTTGGTATTTGTCTACTCGAATACGGACTTTGGGGTATATTCTCTCGTCTATACCCTTGTTTTATGTCAATACGGAAACATTTAAATTTAAATGCTTATTTGTAGCCATACGCGCTATATATAGCATTACTATATAATAAAATGTGATCGGTTATAATTATTTGACATGCTAAATATAGTATTACTATATAATGAAATTGTGATCGGTTATAATCATTTGACGTATGGAGCAAACTTTAAAAGATAACCCAAATAAGAGAGTTGACAAACAAAAAAGAACGGAATTATTCTCTCCGTAACTATTTGATTTTTTACAATTTCACCATTCTCTCGTAAATAGTTAAAAATGATATTTTCTCAAAAAAAATTTACTTGCAACAGATTGACTTTGACACTATTTATATGCCTTTCTTTGACTAGCTTTCATGATTTATAATTAAGTAAAAATATAGTAAATTCGTTTCAATTTATATTATTTTAATATCAAATATTTATAATTTTAACATAAATTAATAATTAAAGATATTAGTAATTAAAATAATACATTGATAAGCATGAAAAGAAAAGTGTTACATGTTGAAAAAAAATTAGAGGAAGTAATAAGCTGTGGAGTAATTTTCAAATTTCAATATATCGCAAATAGAGTACTTGTGGTATTTGACATTTCAGCAACTTTCCATATCACTCCACGTTCAACGGAAAGCATTACTCTCAAATTGTCAACGCTATGTAGCTTTAGACTTTAGTGTTGGTTACATGGATAGAATTCCAAACATCCGAATTGAATTTAAAACAATTAGCCACAAATCCAGTGCATGTGACTCACATGTGCGTTCTTTATCCAATGCATCATTTGGTATCAGCTCAAAAGTCAAATGACACAAATCCAGCCATCATTTTGATTGCCACATACAACATCGTTCTAAAGTCGTATGTGGAGTATACTCGTATAATCATCTAACATGAAATTAAAACTCTATGGATATGGATGACATAACATTTAGCTGCAGTGGGCAACAGCGCAGCGTTGCACATCCTCTGTAAGGACTATAATGCGTTACCAGAGATCACCTTCCTTCACAAAGAGGCCATAGCTTTCTCTGTTTGGAAAGGCGACAATTCATATTGCATTCTCTAAAGACTTCCCCAGAAGCATGAGACAGCTGGAATAAGTACAAAAGCTAACATTCCTTATTCTGAATCCACCTACTTGAGCCAAATTGGTGAGAATTTGGAAGAGAAAATACAAGGGGAAAGAGAAATACATGGGGATTATACTCATCAGAATATTTGATAGACCAACACTGAGAAAAAGAGACTTAAAGTGTTACTCTGCTATCATAGTTCTAAACAATGTTGATCACATAGAAATTTTTCCCTACAAGTTTGGTTCCACGAAAAGACTTGCCTGAGGATGCAAGCCTGCTTCTTTCAGGGTCAAAGAATGCTTTTCTGGACTGTATACTGTTCGAGGGAAATTGGAGACTAGATTGTAGCTTTCAAAGTTTGAGCAATCTAAAGAATCAACATAGTCATATAAAGACTGGATGGTTGCATTGCTGTGGAATCTCCTGTCTTTACGCTCTCCAGTTGGAAATCGCACCAAAACCTGATCAAGTATGAAGCCATTATATTCAAGCTCTAAAAGTATAGGATTCCATACTTAAATGTAAAACATGGTTGATGCAGGAAATAGAATATAAAAATTGAACATAAAGCATGAGCAGCACTGTACAAATATAGTAGAATAAAAAGGCAAAGGCCATCATATGAGAAAGCACTGTATCAATATTTGATAGGGACAAAAAATAGTTCCAAGGTAAAGGTGGAAATTTACTTGAGTAACATCAGGTCCTTTCTCAGGTTCAGCACCAAGAGACAAAGCTTTTTCTTGCTTTCTACGAGCCAAGGCAGCTTCTCTTTCAGCTGCTTCACGTGCTTCTCTTTCACGTGCCTCTTCTTCCTCGCGACGTTTTCGCTCCTCTTCAGCCCTTTCCCTCTCAAGCCTCTCTTGTTCTTCTCTCCTCTGCTGTTCTCTGGCCTGAGGAGAGCATATGTGGAATAGACAGCAATGCCAAATACATACCCAAACATGAAGGGGTTGAATATTAGTTTCTTTAGTCCTTGCTATTCTCTCCATCCAAAATAATAATCACATTACATTCAAAGCAAAAAATAATATGCTGCTTGAGTTAAGTGATGAGGAATGAAACAAATGACCCAGCAATTATAGAAGTTTTGTGAAATTTTCATATCCAGAAGTGCTGCTATAAACTCACAGCTAATTCTGGCCCAGGGGGTGGGGAGAAATACATTTGCGGAGTTGCATATTCTTTCTAATCAATGCATATTTCCCTTAAAACTATTTTATGTTTGGAAACAGTTGATCATAAGCACCATAGAAAGCATAAACATTGTAGTTTCATAATTTGCTCTATTTCCTTTCATACACAAACCTTATGCTCAACCATTTCAAATTGCTTTTGTATAACTGCTGCATACCAACCGGACTAACAACCCTTATCTGATTAACATCCAAAACTTCCAAAAAATTCCCACAAACAGTTGTTAACCTATCTCCAGAAACTTTACAATACACCTCCAAAATGCAAAAGTTAACCTCGGTTTAGTTAGTCATAAGCACCCACTTTATGTAAGCATCCTTAAAATAATCTCAGTGAGTTGGTAGTCTCCAAGCATTCACATAGGCCCAGTTGTAACAAATAAAAAGATTAGGAACTCAAGTAATACAAAGTAAAAAAGTTGATGGCTCAAAGGCAATATGACCAGCAACAAGTAAGCAAATATATACAACAGAGAGAGTATATGCTACAGTACCTGATCAGCTTCTAAGGCAGCTCTGTAAGCAGCATCTTGTTCTTCCCTCAAGCGCATGTTGTTCCTCCTCTCCTCTGCTTCAAGCCTGGCTGAGCCAAGTACAGGTCCACTTTCTTCCAAAACTCTCTGTAGTATGGAAAGCATATCTTCAGGAGATCTTGGGCCCTCAATCTGCAACAGAACATTAGAACAAGAAGTTATTAGGACAGTTTAAATAAGGAAAAAAGATCGCTGAATCAGACCACTGAATACCAATAAAACATTACTTTTGAGTTTTGACTAATTAACGGCAGAGCACACACAAAAAAAAATGGTTACAGCCAGGTTAAAAACTTAAAATTACCTAGAACGAATGCTGACAATAATTAAACACAGGTATATGTATGTAATGTACCAACCCACAGCCAATTATCTCGTCATTAGCCTCTTAAACTCACAAAGCACGGTATCACGATATGAGACAATTTTGTCCTCAAAACATGCTCCACAACACTACATCACCAGATCCAATATTCCTATAAATTTACTAGTCCATTCAAATATTTTAATCTAGTCTAATACTACAAACCAGATTCTGCTAACGAGATAAGCTGGGCTAAAATGGATACACCCAAGGACCCAAAATTCGCACAACAGGACAGACATAAAAACATCAATGACCAGCTCAAGCTGGAAACTCGTTCTGAGCCACCAAATCACTGAAGTCCACTAAGGTAAATGACTTTTATATAACCTGATGACCACAAGCGTTAGTAACAACCTTGTTTTCATTGGCATTATCTTATAATCGAGAATCAAAAGTCTACAGCCTTATGCCAGCCCAGTCTAGATGGATACAGATAATACTTCTGGACACCCACCTAAAATCTTTAAAAATCTGCAGCTTATACTCAAGATTCATATTCATTTTACTCTGCACACAGAGCACATCTTTACACTATCAAAAACTGGTAATTCTTTTATTTTTTATTTCGTTGGCACCCACGGAACTCCCTATCGTGCCATTTCATTGATCCATCATTCACAGCAGCCCTAAGTTTTAGCAAAACCTTCTCGGATAAAAAATCAACCTCAGAAACTCCACAACAACCAAAAGCCTCATGTTCAGAAGAAAAGTTCATATCAGACCTCAGAGCTTAATTAGACAATGCCGTCATTGTCTAATGTTCATCCATTCCCAGTTAAAAATGTGAAAAAGTTATGAGATCCAGATAGATTAGTAAGGATTTTGTTTCTAGGTTTAGGTTATGATTATCAAAATCGCATCAATGTTCTGTTTTTCCACCAAAAAACTTTCCAGCTCCCATTCTATTGTCTTTCATCCATCATTTCACAACAACGGACCAAACCAGAGAACCAAAAAGATCAGACCAACCAATTGCAACATGCACCAATATTCCATCAGCCCAACAAAAAGGCATAAGCACCAAAGGCACATAAGGACACAGAGAGCCTAAAAAGAGCAACACACTTCTATCCTGCCACACCAATAGTCTAAAACTATTGATATCTATAAGACTATAATTATGCTATGTAGGTTTACATATCAAAAACTATCTCCAAGCAAGATGGGAATTGGAGACTGGTAGAGAAAAGAAAGGGAGTAAGAAACTAAAATAAACAAAAAACTTAAGAAGTCATTGAAAACCCACGTCAAGATATTTGAAAACCATAAACTCAGTAAGCCAAATAGGTTCTTCTAAGCAACAATTTGAAACCTGGTGTGACAGTAGGTAACAAAACATCAAACTTCCTGGCCATTAAAAATAAAAAATTAAAAAAAAAAAACCCACCCCTAATACACTCCACACTTTCTAACACAAATTTTAATAATAATAATTTGTATCCAACTCTGGCCCAAACAACCTCACCCCCACCCCCCCCCCCTCCTTCCTCTCTGAAAATTTGCAGATTATTAATATTCCTTGACCCACTATTAGAAGGAAGATTGCAAGAACAATATTTCTCTTCAATCTCAATACCGATGGAATTACGGAATTGGCACTAGACTTTGTTCTAGAGTTCTTTTCTGAAATGCATCTTGATACTTATTCAACAAAAATCGGGCTACCTATCACCGAATTATAGATCCCCAAGGATTAACTTATGATTGATCCATCAATTGTTTATCCTAAGGAAGACAAAAGGACAATTAGTGGCTGAGGAACTTTGAAGTATTTGCCAAGATTAACCCAACACAATGGCTATTAGTTGATTTACATGTGAGATCATGATTGTAAAATGAAGTGTGACTAAGCACCAACATCTTAAGGCCGAAATAAAAAAAATCAATTTCAACATCAATAAAGCTCTTTCATTTGTTTCTCAATGCTACTATATTCCTTAATACTAAAATATAACAAACACCTCTATATAATGGAATCACATAATTGTCAAAATATAGCTTCCTGAAAGCCACAGTTGTCTCTCACTCCCTCGTTTCCTTATCTTCTCAAAATTATTTAATAAGTAATTCCATATATAAAAATAATGATAATAATAATAAAAACACCCACCAAGTTTTCATATGATGCCCACAAAATGACTAATAATTGATTAGTCCATTGTTTCATCAAAGGAAGGCAAAAGGCCAACAATCGGCAGAAAAACCTTGTGGAATTTGCATAGGTTACCTAAAAACAGTAGCTCTTAGGACTGTAATTTCTAAATCAAAATAGGCTGGTCGGTAAATAGGTTCCCACTTGGTTTAAACAGGATCCATAAAACAAACCAAATTCTTAGTAATAGACCTACCTTGAATAATTTAAAAGGCATCGTGGCTTTGCCACCAGGGTGAAATAGTCAACTAACTCATTCGGTCTAGGTAAAATAGCTCATTCGGTCACTTCCAATCATGGCATTAATTCTTGGCTGCATCAACACATCGCAGCCGCAGTGTAAGGATTTTACACTTAAGGTGACAAAGATATTAAGCTGCAAAGTGCAAACCACCCACATTGCCCGCAAAACTTTACAATGACCACAACCACACCCATAATTTTAAACCATGTTTCCGATGACACAGGCTTTCATTTATATGAGCCTATTTTCAGAATCCTTTGCCTAAAGTTTATTTGGTTCAATGTTAGTAAAGGAAAAGAAAAGAAAGGAAGGGAGGGGAAGAGAAAGGAAGGGAGGGGAAAAGAAAGCAATTTAATTTTTCATTATTTGCTTGATGAAAGAAAAATGAAGGGTAGAAAAAGGAAATTTTATTAAGTTTTGATTTTCAGTTTCCAATCAAATTCGTCCAATTTTGAGAGGAAATGTAAGTGAAATTTAGTAAAGAGGCTTTCCTCCCACTTCCCTTCCTTGACTATGAATTTTCATGTCCTTTATCTAACCAAACATGGGAACATAATAAAAACCCTTCCTTTCTCAACTTTTCCAGCCAAATCTCTTCAACCAAAAACGGACTAAGTCCAAAAAGTGCACTCAACCTCCTACTAATAACAGCCAAAACTGTAAGGCCCTTCAGAAGTATACTTAACATAAGATAAACCACAGAGTAAATATGCAGGAATTAGTTCAGCTGAAGAGCTTACATTGTACTAGTTGATCCCTATTCCATGTAAAATTCAAAATGACTTTCATTGACAAGTCCAAGATCTACATGTCCAACCACAATCTATATAAGATTCACAAATACAGCCATTACTGAATGTTAATTTGAACTAGGAAATTGCTTGGAAATTTTGAAACTTTGAAGCATTCACTGAAACTTGCAGATATCTCCAGTTACAGGCAATGTCCCTAATACTAAGTACATTCTACCTTGCTAATACAGGCAATGCCCCTAATCCTCAACTATCAAAGGTTCAAAACAGTGCAACATGCACTTGCAGATATCTCCAGTTACACAGAGATCTGCTTTTAATGATGCCATCCAATATAAATTCCATAAATTAAACACACAAAAAGAGAAGGGGAGGGGGGGGGGGGGAATCAGATAAACCTCAATTTTCACATGGATAACCAGCTGATTTACAGGTATCATCACTACAAATTCTAGTGACAATAAGTTAGCCTAACTAAGCAGCTACATTATAAGAAAATCAATAATCATAAAAACACACTTAATTATCTCCCCAAACCCAAATTAAACATCCCATGATATCCCAACCAAAACCAATCACAAATCAAACATTCCAACCAATCAATAAGCAATGATCACAAAACTACTGGGTATTATAATTAAAACTGTAATCAACGACTTAACAAAGCAAATGAACTAAACATTAGCCAAAAAACAGCAGTCCTACCTGCTGAAGCAGAGCAATACGTTGATTAGTAGCAGCCATAACAACAGCACAAAACGGAAACCGTGAGGCTTTCAAACTATTACTCATCTTAAATCCCTCGGAAGCACGAATACTACCGCCCCACGCCACGAAATTCTCATTCACAAAATCAGCAAACACCTCACTCCCCAATGTCCTCTCCACAAACAAAGGCGTATCAGGGTGATCCGGCGAATGCAAATACACAAACAACAGCTTATAAGCATGTCTAGACCTCTGAAGCGCATCCATAAACCCTTCTGAAACAAAATTCACCCTCATACCAGACCCATACTCCCTCTCCAATGCTGCAACAAACTCCATCGCTTCGGAAGCCGAAGACGGTACCTGAACCAACGGACTAGCAGAAGAATCACCACCTCGACGACCCCCTAACCCCAGCATCCCAAAAGAATAAGATAACACCCCACCAGCAGCCCATAACCCTAACCCAACCGCACCAGAAATCAACCCTAAACTACCAGAAACAACCGAAATCGGTAAAGTAATTACCCTCCATGCCAAACTAGGGTTTCCATTTCCAGGGTTAGAATTAGAATCAGACCTTAAAACGGCGTCGTTTGGAAACGCACTAGGCAGAGATTGTGATTGTGATTGTGATTGTTGTTGTTGATGTTGCCCACTACTTCCGACATTATCAGAAGATTCCGGAACATTGGGATTACCAGTAAAAGCAGCGATTGCAAGCTCAAGATCCCAATTATGAGCAGCAAGAATCTCAGTGCATAAATCAATGTCTTCTAAACCTGTAATTGCTTGAAAATACGCCAATTTATCGCTCGCATCTACCATTTTTATGAAACCCAAATTTTCTCTCTCCTCGAATTTCGCCGGTGCCGGAGAAGATAGGTTTTCTCCCTCCTCTGTGAAAAATTGGGATATTTATGAGGAATGTGATAGAGGTTTATGGTAGAGAGAAAAGATGATCAGACGTTATTATTATTACGATGATGAAGAGGAAAGGGACGGTTGAAGATTTGAGGGTACCGGAAATGTTGGGAAATTTAGGGAATAATAACGAAAATGCCATTAGGAGATAGGAGTTGAATTTAGCTGAGCTACTAGTGTGAAGTAGAGTTGGCAAAAACTGATACAACACGAACCGAACATGAAAAAAACGAGTTAGTGTCAAGGATTTTCAACACGCTTAATTAAAATGGTCTACACGACACGACACGTTCAAATAAACAGGTTGGATTAGTTTTGAAATTCTCAACACGAAATTAACATGACTCAACCTGCATAGTATAAAAACTCAAGAAATTATGGAATTATTGATAAATCTATTGAACAAGACCAATTTTTTTTTTTTAATTCAACAAGACACGAACCGAACACGAAAAAAGCGGATTAGTGTTAAGGGTTTTCGACACGATTAATTAATTAGGTCAACACGACACGACACGTTTATTAAATGGGTTGGGTTAGTGTTGACCTTCCCCAACCCGTTTAATTTCCAACACCAAAACAAACCAGATATGACACGACACGATTGTTAGATCTGGTCTAGTGTGAAGTGAAGCGCAGCGTTTTAACTCTTTTGACGGAGGTTAGTTTAATTCTCACCAAATATCACTGTACGTGTGTAATTTCTGGGAAAATGAAGGATTGGCAATTTGGTGCGGCTTTTAAGGGATATGACGACTGGGTGGTCAACCATGAAATATGAAATAATCCTACCTTCCCTATGTCAGTAATCTCATCTACAGGTGGCAAACATTTTCATTTTGTACTACTCGTAGTTGTTTTCAATTTTCATGTTTGTGTTAAAGATAATTGGTTTGGGAAACCTGATCAATGATAGACTTTTTAATCAAATGACTCGTATTGTATCGACCTGCTAAAGTAAATGAGTCGAAAATCTTAGGCGCTTAACTCGGTTTTTTAATGTTTGATTTGTGTCATATTATCGTGTCATATAAAATAGTGTTTTTGAAATATCTTTAGTTTATGCAACACGAACCAGACATGAAAAGAACGAGTTTAAAAAATATTTTTTAAAAATTAGGTATATTATAAAAACTAATAGATTTTGCATCAAATCACCTAAAATAGTGTTTTTGAGAAGATAAAAGACATTAACGTGTTTTTAGTTATTGATATTTACACATTTTAATTTTAAAAAATCATCTTCTAATCTTTTGGATTTGAATGTTGAAAGATCAAAAAATTTGAAAGAAAAAAGATGATATCATAAGCAATTGGAGGGAAATTTTTTCATAAATAAATGACTCATGTACAAAGATGATGTCAATAATTTTCATCTTAGTTATATAGTTATAAATAGATGTTGAAGACAAATTTATTTTTAACTTTTGAAACAATGTCTTCAACGAAATCTCAGGTCTTTGGCATCATTTATGTCATTTAGTTGTACTCGACAAGGCAAAATCATATATTTGTGACGTGGAGTGCACCTAATCAAGGTCGTGTTGTTCATTAATCACTACACTCAATATCAACTATTTTATAATTATAATAATCTAATATTTAAATAAATAATCTTTTTTTTTAAAAGAAATCAAATAATTGACTTGTTTGACATCATTTTTGGTTTTTAATTTTTTTATTTTTTGAAAAAAAAAAAAAAAAAAAAAAAAAAAAAAAAAAAAAAAGTGGTTTCACTTTTCTGTTGTCAATTTTTAAAATTATCATGATTTTAATAAGTTTGACCAAATTTTTAATTATTATATGATAAATAGCATATGATTTTGAAAAACAAAAAACACAAAACCAAAGCGATACCAAATGGACTAGTTTTCTAAAGGTTAATTTCAATTCATTAATGAAATTATTGTACGGCGAGAGAAGTGACAAAGTTTCTTTTGGGCCCATCAAAAAACGAGACATTACTAGAAAACCCCAGGGAAGCAAAACACACACTAGAATATCAACGAATTTTCATCCTCAAAACCCTATTTTCTTAAATCCTTAAACCTACATAACACACACCCTAAAACTTATATAAACGCATAATTTCATAATATCTAAACCCTTGCTGCCACTTCTCTTTTTAAATCAGAAACTCAAAATAAATTCTTAATCATATTCATTGTTATATATTGATCATAAATTTACCCTACTAGCAAAAAAACAACAATCATGGTGTTGCAGAACGACATAGATTTGCTAAACCCGCCGGCAGAGCTGGAGAAGAAGAAGCATAAGCTGAAGAGGTTGGTGCAGACCCCAAACTCGTATTTCATGGACGTTAAGTGCCAAGGTTGCTTCGCCATTACGACTGTATTCAGCCACTCTCAAACTGTCATCATGTGCCCTAATTGTCAGACTGTTCTTTGTCAGCCTACTGGTGGCAAGGCTAGGCTTACCGAGGGTTGCTCCTTTCGCCGAAAGGTTGATTAATATGGTTTTTGACGAGGTTCGCCTTGTGGATGTTGGTCTCTACGGAAATTATGATGTCATTAGGGTTGTTTATGCTTAGTTTCATGCATCATGGGAGAAATAATTTATCTTTGTATCGTGGTAATTATTAGGATTTTGTGATATTTTTATGGTATTAATCATCATTTCCATGTGTTTGTTCTGATTTACGTTTTATGTTATGTGGTGATCATAATTCAATAAAGTTTACCAGTTTGTACCATTCGTCTATTGTATTTTAGGGATAATCTATGCAATGTGATTATACGTTGGTCCCGTCTATAATTTATAAGCCTTTCTGTTGAATTGCCGTCTCTTGTCTTTAATTATACTTAGAACGACAGTTTTCTGCAAGTAGAAGTCATGACAGCATGAGTATACCACTTACACGAGTATACCAGTTTTAGAAGTGCATGTAAATGCAACAGATCGGCTGCCAAAGCCGTTCGTTCATTGTACCAAGTTGTATAACAAAGTTTAACAATAGCTCTGATTTCCAGAGTAGCACGCAGCAACCAGGGATTTCCAGATCTCTGCATGCATACTGATCTTACTTGTATATATTCCGCAAAAAAGCTATCCAAATCCAGGCCAAAATAACATTGGATTTGTAATCTCCTTATACAAGAAAAGCTTATGCATGTACATGCTTTGCTCTGCTAGAGTTATACATTACATACTCTTTACTATCCTAATTAACTCTCGTTAACATACCTATCAAAAAACAACTCTTGATATGCCTATCAAAAAATCAGTTAAATAACTAAACTTCTTTTATTAGAGCTTTGCTATCATCGTTGGTCTTCTCTGTCTTTAAGGATCTCCTCTTTCCATTGCCTTGATATTCCAATTGTGAAGCCTTTTCAGCCTGAACAAGAACTGACAGAGAAGACCACACTTCTTCCGGCTGCTCATTCACCCAGCACAATACAAAGTAGATCTTCCTTCCAGCAGACTTGAGCTTGCTCTTCAAGTCTGAACTCTTTGCTTTTCTTGGTTTCTTGGATTTCAGCTCCATCTCTCCTGCCACAATCATCCTCTGCAGATCACATAATGCACAGACTAGAGCAGCCCTACCTAAGGATATTAAAGATACAACATCATCGAGAACACCAAACCCAAATTGTAAACCACCCACGTGTCTAAAGTCCGGCGAACAAGTCTTCTCTAAGCAATATGACACAGCTTCTAATAAGGATTCTGGTTGTGCTCCCTGGCTTAAAACAGCGGACACATTTAAGACCACCATGGAAGCTCCGATAGAATCTGATGACCAATCCCCATTATAAAGGCGAAGGGTGAAACAATAGCTGTACAGGATGTCAACCAGATGAAAAGGGAGAAGTGGAGAAGGCTCAGCAGAAGTAAGATTTTTAAGTGACGGCAAAGGGGTCTCAGGTCCAGGAGGAATTTTACTCTCAAGGTTTTCACCAGAATGTGATCCTGATGCTTCCTCGCTTGCTAAAGGCTGGATAAGCCGAGTTCCTTCATGACTCAGAGATATTGTTCGAGCAGAAGGCTTCAACCACCATGGCTCCCATGGCTCAATCATCTTGCTCAATTCTCCTGTTGCTATAGCTCGTTGGAAAAGTTTCTTTTCTTCAGCACTTAAGTCGTCATAATTTATTTCAACTCCTGAAAATAGAAATTATGCTTCAGAACATATTACATATATATATTCTCCCTAAACAATATCAGGCCTTTCACAATAAGTCTTAAAATTGCATACTGTGCAAGGAAATAAGAATACAACAGCAGTGAAAAATGTCATAGTTGTCTTTGAGACAATGCAGCAAGGAAACAGGAAAAGACAACACTATAATTGGGAAGGGAAGATAAGCAGGCCACACAGCTATACCCTATAGGGGGAACCAACAAACAGCGAGTAACGTGCAACTACTGACACTTGAAAAGATGAAATTATAAGCAACATACCTGATAGAGCCTTTTGAATAGTCTCCTCAGAGAGAGTTGAGTCTGCAATGTAAGGAAAATGGCATAAGATGACATATTTGATTATTTGAAGCAAAGTTCAGAGCTCATAATGAAACTGAGCTAAGAACTTTTTGCATAAGCTCAGACATTCCATTGTGGTTTCTTTAACTAGATTTCTGCCATCTTATTTCACTCTATAAGTTGTGTCACTTTTATGCAGAGCTTTTAGCTAGTGATTATGCAAAAACACTGTCTTGGCCCTCTTGGGGTATTGGTAGCTATCTTACTAAATACTTCAAATTAAACAGATGACCCCCTGAGGAAACATACCATCTTCATCCATGCTATCCTCCTCATCTTCAGCATGAAATCTTTTAAGAATTTCCAGCATTTTTTTCTTGCTCTCATCATCAGGGCGTAGCTGTTTCATCTCATCCACAACATTCTCCCGCATAAAAGATTCATTGCATCGGAGGCTGTGAGACTGCCAAAACAACCACATAATGCATCAAATACAATCATAACATCACTTAGATCATGAGTCTCTTACTAAACTTATAGGAGGGGGCCCAGGGAATTAGGCTTTGGATGATTACAACTAAAAAAAATGCTATTGCTATGGCTAGTGGTAGTCCAAGCAGGTAAGTGAAGCAGGTGGTAATAATTAGAATAACAAATGATTAATTATATACCAAATTGCTTACAGATTATGACTGGAATCACAAACTATTCTACATTGAGCATTCGTAAAAAGACCAGCAACATCCTTAGCATTCACAAAAAATATAGTATATCAAATCCTAAACATGATTTTTCTTTTTTTTTTTTTAGTTTAAATAGAATCTCCACGAGAACTCCAGAGTATCAATACTTAATATCCTCTTGCGAACCATCCCCATAGACAACGGCAGTCATCCCACACAATATCAGTATACATCAACGAGTGCAATTACGGTTTTCTTCTTCTTTGCAACACTCACTCTTCTCTCTGGATAACTCCAGAGTTGCCTCAACCAAATTAATGTAGTATATCCTTTGTTTTCACCAAAAAAAAGAGACGCCTCAACCTCAAAACTTCTTTTAGTCTTTCTATATACAGCTCTTTACTCATTACAATTCAACGGCATTGCTAAAACCTAATTACCATTTGTAATAATCAACTTTCCCCATTTGTAGGAAGTGCAACTTCCAAGCAAGCAGCCACTTCCTATGTTTTCATCAACCAAATAACTCCCTAGTACGGAGTATTCACTTTAAAATCTATTCGATTTGAACACGATTATTTCAGGACGGATGGAGTATAATTTAATCGTAACAACATATAAGCACCCTTACTCCTAACTTGTTCACAACAATTCACATATCAATAAAACTGGAAAATCGAACAACGAAAGCGAAATTAGTTGGTAAGAGCTGAAAAGAAAAGGCATACCTTGTAACAATGGAGGGAGCAGTATCTGGTATTACAACGAGGACAAGTATATTGCGAAAATTGCTTTTGACATCTACATTTCCCAAATTCAAAATCAAACAATTACTCAACAAATTAACAAATAAAATCAAAAAAAAAAAGCAGTTTTTCAATTGGAATTTGTTAATCATCAAATAATTGATCAAATACAACAAATTTCATAAAGCTTTGATTGATTACAAAGGAGAAAGAAGAAGCTTACACACGGCAGATAACGCGAGAAGAGGCGGAGTTAAGTTGTGAAGATTGAGAGGAATTATTAGTTTCAGAGATAGCAATCGTTTTCTCCATTTTTATTTATTCAACCAACAAATTTGAACACTTTGTATTAATTGAATAGTTCGGAGAGAGAATGAGGAAGAAGATGAAGAACACTTTGAGAAGTTGTTTATTTGGAGTCCCGGATAAAACCGGAAAGTGCGAGGTATATGTCTTTGTTGTTTACCTTAGTTTTTCATTTGATTCTTTTGGGGTTTGTATGTATTGGGCCAAAAGTTAATTATTGGGCTTTACCATTTGGGACTGGAGCCAATAGCCCAATGGACCGTTGCACAGAGCTGTTCAGCTTAACTTATTTCATGGGATGCAAATATGTTCAATTTAACTTATTATTAATATTAATCAAATATTTGCTTTTTTATAGATGATTTGATAGGATTTTTTTTAATTTATGGTTATTATCGTTAAGTATCTTTAATTTTTTTTATTATAAAATTATGCATATTTCATACTAGTTAAATTGCCGTGCAATACACGGATTTTACTAAATTAAATAGTGAAGTACAACATTAATTCCCGTGCAATAGATGCATGGTTGTTTAATACGGAGTGATTATAATACAACAAAATTATAAAACGACATAAAAAAAAAGGACTCGACACCAATTATTAGAAAGTATGAAGTATATAATTAAAAATAACCACATATAATAGTTATAATGAACAATTTAATATTTTAGAAAGTTTAGTTTAGATTTTATGTAAAGCAAATCCCATTATTTAGAGGGAAAATACTCAATACAATGCTTTTGGAGGGAAAATACTCAATACAATGCTGCCAAGTGTCATTTTAGATTCGCTTTTAATAATATGTAATAGATTTGAAAAGTACATATTAATATAAATCTAATCACATTTCATTTGATAGGATTAGTGTAAAAATAAGGTCAAAATTTAGTCAAATTTGCAAGTTAATCAAGTCATGTAAACTAAAAATAGCCAAAGATGACATAAATACTTTAGAAAGAGGAGTATTTGATTCTAACTCATGTAATGGAACAAAGCTATTGTCTCCAAAAATAAGGTGAATATTTTAGGGCCTAAATAAAGATTACTTTGGTGTCAAAGAGAGGTTAACAACCCTAAGTACTTTTTCAACCCTAAGTAATTGAAGTTAGATCCCCCCTGTTGCAATTAGCACCTTAAAAATGAGAACGGAACCATTGGGTTTTTGGTTTTGAGTACCTAGTAATTTTGTAGATTTGAATAAATTAATTTTTAAGAAAATTTAGATGCTCACAAACATATTCATTTGTTCTCTATTTTTTAAACTCGAGCTTAAATTATTTTATGATCAAGGGTTAAATATTACTCCATACATGTAGCTCACTAAGTCCATACCCAAAAAAATAAATAAATAGTGAAAGTCGAAATCTTATGCCACAAATTCCCAATATTGTTACTTGAAACTGAAACTAGTTTTGATTTTAGTTCCAATTTAAGAATTCTAATTTGTCACTCACCCCTTCTCTCGGTGTCTGAGGGAAAAAAAATAACATTGATGATGTTAGTTAAATAACCTTAACACAAGGTGTAATCAAAATTGACTTGCTTTTTAGTTTTTACAACATATGATCCCAAAAATCAAGAATTCAAGATGATCTAGTCAACTTGATCTAAACCTCTAGAATCATGGGAGGAGAATTGAAAAAAGTAATCACTTTTTAAAAACCAAAACTTGAGTGTCCATCATATATCAACACCAAAGAATCTAGTATATCAAGAGATGTGACAATTTATAAATAAATCAAAACCACCCTTAGCTTGGTGAAAAGTCAGTTGATCTAGTACTAATAGACTAGTAGACTTGGCAAATTTTTACAGATAATAACCAAAGTCCAAAACCTTTACTCAGAAGTTGATTTAGACATAAAGAACCGACCTCACAACGAGATGTCAAAATTAAGCACCCACGTAAAGGATGCTCCAATTATGCAAACACCTTCCCACTCCATAAACTCTGCTTATAAGTCTAAATCCCTAACTCTTTGTTTTTGTACGTGATACTATAGAGTGATAACGACTTGAAAAATTATGACTAATCAAGTCATGCTCACAGTTTGGCTCAGACTCAAAACGATCTTATCAACTCAAACTTAAAACGGGTTTTTAAAGTTCGTTCAAATATGGTGAAAATAATCAGCCCAAGTGAGTTATGTGATTTAGGGTGTTTGATTGGCTGATTTTTACTTATTTGAAATTATCTAATCTAATCTGAATTTACTTGAGCTTATCTTATCTAATTTGAACTTATTTTAGTTGTAATTTAAACTTGGGTAATCCTTATTAGATTTTATTTTTTCTAAACTAAACTTATTTGAACTTATGAGATTTAAAATAAGTGAAAATAAGGAGAACAGAATAGGCGTTCAGCTCGTTTTGTTATCAACACCCTAAGTAACCTAAGTATCAAATAATTAATTGAGCTAGAGCATTTTATGGATTATGAAGGCTAGTTTCTAAGTTGGATAGGTATATGAGAAAAAGGGAAAAGAGGTGAAGAAATGAAATGCAATAAAAATGAAACTTGAGTTTGAAGGCAAAATGATAACGCATTGACCTACAAACAAACAATGCCCACACAATTTATACAGGTCACCCACAGTCGGCTAGAACGCATGCCATTACTACAAAGCTGCTTTTAAGTCGGCCATTACCATTTGTATTTTCTTTTTAATTTTTGGTCCGACCATTATAATTATTACCCAACATTTTCATTATGCTTGCATGCAGTAACTAGAAATAAAGATATGTAAATAATCTACTACTGTAGTATTATTACTATAACCCAAAGTTAAATTGTTTATCTTTCAAGAATAATGTCTAAGAATTTTTACATTTTAATTGTAATTTGGTACTAGTAGCTTAATTATCAAGACAATAAAACAAATACTTAATGCTCTGATAATTGTTTATGCACGCTTATATCTTTCAGATCTTTCCTATAAATTTATACTCCATATCTCCTAGATTATCTTTTGATTACTAATAATAAAGAAAAAATTAATTATGCAAGATTGTGTGATAATATGTAAACTAATTAATACAATTAAACTCGAGATTATAGAGAAATAAATATGAGATAACTTTAGAATGAGTGAATGACATGAAGTGTTGCAGTTTAAGATATGAACTTAAGCTCTCTAATTCTCGACTTTGGGTCTAAACAACTATGAGTTATAAGACAAAAAGGGAAAAGAAATTTATTGTTCCAATTGAGGAGTTCAAAAAAAAAAATGGTCACAATACTATGGAGCTAAAAAAAAAAGTTATTAATTAATTCAATTGATAATATATACTTCGTATAATATTAGTTGGTTTATAAACGTAAGTGACAAAATATTAATGATCAAATGCGTGTTTTAGAAATTGGGAAAGGTTAAAAAAAAGGCAAGTAATTTATAAATGAGCAAATGCAATTAATTTTTTTTTTAAAAGTGGTTGATGATTCAAATTTTGAGGCTAAGGTAACGTACAACAATTGAGAAGCACGAAATGATAATGTGCGTAGTGGCTAATAAGTGGTAATGCCCTACAAATAATAGTGTCCATACATTGTCCAAGCACATCCACATTGCTACAGGCCATAGAGTAGTTTTTTGGTTTCATCAGATATGGAAACCAATTTCTGTACTGCTTCTAGGCCATCAATTATATACTCCTATTGGCAAAACCACACTCACCTCTTCAAATTTTTTATCTTGGGCGAATATAGTAATTTCAATTTATGATGTTACCTATCAAATATTAATCCGATCCTACCCGTTCTGACCAAAAAATAAAAAATAGAAAATTCAACCTAAACTAGCTATAAAAAAAATTGAAATGCCTTAAAAATTATACTCTAATCAAAATTATTCCTACCTTCTAAATTATTCCTACCTTCTAGATAACAAAACCATGTAATTATGTAAATGGAATCAACTCGACATATTGACCCAACCTATATTGTTCAGGTCACACACTAGTTTAAGTCAAATCTGTCCATTATGCAATGAAGTGAGAACACTCCTTAGTCCTTACCAACCTCACTCCCAACCAAATGATAAATAGAAATTATAAAAGCTAACACAATTCTACTATTGATTCCACTGCGAGTCTTTATTTCTGTCGTTCATACCATTGAAAGCAATCAAATATCCTGGAAGTTTAACCTAAGACTTTGGGACTGCTGAACTTGTGGTTTTCTATCTTTGTTCTTTAACTGATAAAAGTTGAGTACAACTTCATGATCAGAAGAATAACAAAGCTTATGCAAAGAACATGCATGTTAACAAACAACGAAGAGCGAGAAATCGAGAGATGAGAGAGAGATTGATCTTCCATTCAATTGCCAACTTAACTACAAAAATAATGAGAGGCAAAACATGCAAGAGCCTCAAAGGTCAGCCCTAAGTATACCAAGTAATACTTTTCTAACACACTATATAGTAAGCTACATCTGCAATAAGCCCAAAGATATAAACAGGTTAATCACTAATAACAATTTACCCACAAGACCCAACAAAATTGAACAGGAAAAATAACTAGCTGAGTTCACAGATGTGATAATCTGGCCGTTTTCGCTGAAGCTATTTTTCAGTTCTACTTTGCCTGATTCGCCATGATACTCGTAGTGAGAGCGAGCAGTAACTTGCAGGGGAGGAGAAGCAATACACTTTGTGATGCTCTTCTTTGCGCTAGCGTGAACTTTGGTTAAATTCCTAGATCTCTATACATAAACCAAATCCAAGCAGATTCTGTTAAAGTCTAGTTACGATTAAATTGGAAGTGGCACAACATGCTGCTGGAAGTCACCCCAAAATGGAGCTGCATTGGTGACAATGTTAGCGGCCTCACAGGTTGTGTTCAGAACTTCACTTGTGTTTGTGCCTTGCAAAAGCTGCATAAGAGACACGAACACATCCATTCTCGTTACATGCTTGTTTCCCTGCACATTTAAATATACATTCGTCCTTTAATAAGATTAATGAAAATTACTGACAGGTTACTAATTACTTGAAGTTGTATATGGAATGACTTAGATGAAAAGATGTACCTCAACAGTGAAGTGTGCCCATATTTTGTCGTTTCTCATTTCCATGACTCCCTTGAGTATGGTTAAGCCAAAACCCCGAACTGCATCAGCTATCTCTAGGAAGTATCCCCGTTCTTCACATAGCATCTACACGATGGAATTAAAATTGTTTAACCTAGAGTTCTTTTATATACAATGAAATGGAAGTGAAATAATCAGCATTGCCATCAAGATCGCACCTCAATGAGCATTTGACCAGGTTCATTAA